GACGGGATGAGGATGCTCCGCTCAGTGCGGTTTGCCGGGGAGCTCCGCACCCATGGGTGTGCAGGCACCCACAGGCACAGGGCTCAGCACTTGTTGGGTTGGATGGGGCTCCCTAGCACACCCATTATGCAGCATTAAGCCGATTAATAAAAGAGACCCCATAAATCAGCTAATGAGACCCCAGGTGATATTTATACTGGTCTCCTCAATGAGATTAAGGATTCAGCAATTTGCTTCCCCCATTATTTAATTAACTTTTTTGCCCTGGTGATGATGAATCCAGCTGTGTTGAGGGTGGGTCCCTCCGCTGTGTGACACTGGGGCATGGATGGGGTGATCTGCATCTGGAAGTCACAAAAAGCTCTTGAGGTGATTTAGAGTATGGCAGAAGCTTCCCAGCCACCCCAAATCCAGCTGCAATATCCTCCCAACCACCCCAAATCTGGGTGCAGTATTCCTGGTCATGGCTTCCATCCAGGCTGGGCAACACTAAAAGCAGCTGGAAATGCTGTTTTCTTGGGTGCAAGATGGGGTTGAGGTGGGGTGACGAGGAGGGGGACAGAGGGATATGGCTTTTCTCAGGGTGCTGGAGGGGCAGGGAGACAAGGATGGAGGGGTGGGGGTGTTGCAAATAGTCTGAGTGTTGCAGCTACTTTGCATGAGGGGGGTTATGGGCTATGGAGCAGGGATGCCAACAGTGAGCCAGAGCAGGGGGGGAAAAACCAAAACGGCTCCAAAACACCATTTTTTTGTGTTTGGGGGTGCATGCACTCTTGTGTTCACCTGTTTCAGCCCAGCCCAGCAGCAGTACTAAACCCTTGGTGAGCACAGCACAGAAGGGTTCATCCAGCCTCGTTTAGTGACTTCTCAGACTTTTCTAGTCTTTATTAACGAAAGATAGGATCTGATGGCCTGGGGGGAGTTGTTCAGGGTGAGGGTGCTCTCAGTGCTGCGGTTTGCGTTGTTGATGGATTTATGCTCACTGCTGAAATGCAAGGGGTGTTTTTATCAGCAAATCGAGTCAGTACATAAGCAAACATGAAAATGGATGGCCACAGCGTCGGCAATAAACTGCCTGCAATGCCAAGGACATGTCCTGGTAGCACCTGTCACCAAGGATGATGGAGATTTTGTGGGTTTATCCCTCTGCAGCCCCTTATTTTTCCTCACTTCTTCACATCCGCAGCTGCAGAAAACATGTTTATATTAAAACACAGATGAATATGTTTTCTTAGGAGCCGTAAAAAATCCCACAAAGACCCCATGGGATCTCAGGGTAACAGTCGGAACCTATTTCCCCTCATTTTTTCTATCTCAGGAGGGCTGTTTTTGAGTCTGGCTCCAGAGTGAGCTGCAACACTGGAGGATGTTCTGACCCATGCTGGGAGGCTCTGCTTCCCTCTTGTTCTTCCCTTTCCCTGTGAGCAGCAGGGCATCACTTTGGGAACACCCCTCCAGCCGTCCCCACCCGTCCCAAAAGCAGCAGGATGAGGGGGTGGAAAATGCATTTTCAGGAGCCGGTGAGCTGACTCAGCCAGAGTCTACTCTCAAAAGTCTTCCTATTTCTTCCAAGCCAGCTATTTTTTTCTTTTTTTTTTTTTCTTTTTCTTTGAGCAAAATAAACCAGCAGCGACTCGACGAGGAATCACAGTTCCTGCTGGTAGCGTGGCTCGCTTTCAGCTTGAAGAGGCTGCCGGGCGGGCGGGCGCCGGATCCCCATCCCTGCTGTAGCCATCTCTACATCCAGCATCTTACCTCCCCGAGTCACCCGGTGTAATTCAGAGGCTTTTATTTCCTTGTACGACATGGTATCAGCAGCCGGCAGCTGGGCTGGGAGCCGGATAGTGATGGTAATCTCCTGCCCTAAACTCATCCCCCTGGTTAGGAAAGGAGTAGAAGAACTTGGTGTCTCTATTAAATCGAACTCGGCTCTGATTAAGCGCTTTTCAATGCAATCCAATTAACTCTTAAATTGAATTGTAATGCTTTGGCTAATATACCACCCCCCAGCACCGCCTCCCCTCCTTTAGCACCCATGCCTGGGAAGGGAGTTCAACCTGGGTTTAATCAGATAAACCCCCTATTTTCATTGCTTCCCCAGGGAAATGCTTTGATTTAGGAAGTTGAGGGGGAAAAGAACTACATTTACTCCACTGATACATCTTCCCCGATGTTGTCTGAGGTGTGAGTATGGGGGTGTCCCCAAGGAGGGGCTGGGGTCATCCTCCCCCACCACACAGTACCCGTGTCCCAGGCGGATGGGTAGAGTTGATGGTGCAAAGAAAACGTCACTGTGTCCTGATGATTTTGTGAGCATTTGTTAGAAAAAAGAGGGGAAAATGGGATTTTTTTTCCCTCTGATCTTCCTAAGCGGCTGCAGCAATTATTTTTTTCTCAGATATGTAAATCTGAGCTTATCCCATCTTCATAACAATTAAGGAATTGGGGTTAATACTACTCATCCAGGGACGTGTTATTTGTTGAGCTGGAGGGAGATTGTGTCACAGAAGAGGCTGGTGTGCTGCCAAGGGCTCAAATGCCTCCATGCTCACAAGTGAAATGAGTTGGCCTGTCCTCAGCCTCTCTCTGGGGTGCATTGCTGTCATCTCCTAAGCCAGGGATGGGGTCAGGCCATGCCATATGGATGCAGAAACCTCTAGCACACCCTGGTTTTGGCCATTTTTGGACCTTCCTGCCTCCCGCAGAGGTTTATTTCTGTTCCCCTCCCGCCTTGCTTAGCTCCGTGCTGCTCTGTCCCGAGATGAATTGATTCCAGCAGCTGAAGCTTAATCGGAGACATCAAAGCATCTCAGAGCAATTTGTTAAGTAAATAATAAAAAAAAAACTTGGCCTAAGCAAATATGGGAGGGAGGGGGGGAGGATGAAAGGCTCTATAGGCAGGGAAAGCTTCAGAGGTTTGGAAATGATGGAGAGAAAAAATAAATAGCAAGTGCCAGGAGTTTCAAAGCTTCCATCATTTCAGCTGTGGATTCCCAGCCTTTCATCCCAGACCCCCGCGGGAAGGAGAAGATGCAGCTATCTTCTCCAGGTGGATTTGAGATAGGAGGTGGAGGGGAAAAAATGTTTTCAAATATCCTTAGCTCTGTCACCATCCCCAGAGGCAGCAATGCTGCTTGTGGGGAGTGGGAATGGGAGCAGAAATAGAGGACCAGGGGACTGGTTGGGTCAGAGCCTTAAAATGATCTAAATTCAATTTTGGGATGAAAGCAGGGTTTGGTCGGTGAATTATTATGTGAATTATTCTCTGCTCAGGCTCAGGCCAATCCCCAAAGCAGAGCTGAAAGCCCGATGCTGCCCAGCATCTCCAAGACATGGGTCTTTAGAAGTTAATTGAGCATTTGAAACATCAGAGGAGCGTGCTGGGGAGGGGAGGAAGGGAGAGAATTTCCATGCCTGCATCCGAGACATGGAAATAAGGTGCTGTCATTGCCTGTGCCACCAAGTCATCTCCTTGGCTGCACGCTGCTGGGAGCAGGAGATAATGTATCACCTGCCAAAAATGGGGCCGGGGGTGCTGGGGGCAATGGGAAGCCA